TATGTCGGTCTATAACTACTATATAGTTTATCGCGCTATCTTTCCCCGATAGTAGGAGGTTAGTAATAAAGTTAATAGTAATTTCGCTCTATATACGTTACGGAATAGGGAGTAGCTTTAGGGGTCCTTTCTTTATATCCCTCTAGATAGTATTTCGTCTATAAACCTCGTAGTTACGTATAAACCAACGTATATCGCTAGCAGCACCCGGCTAGAAGAAGCGTCTCGATAAAGTTGAGTATATAAGGTCCCTTCTAGGATGTCCGGTAATATAAGAGTCGTGAGTTTCCTAGATAATCTTTATATATAGCGGCTCCGAACTAGGTATCTAAACGCGTTCTCTAAAGTATAATAGGCCTCTATTATCTAATAAGCATTCTAAAATACTAATAACCTTCTCCTTCTATAACTCTATTAGTAAACTCTTTACTTTATCTACTACTAGCTTTATAAGTTCTTAATAAAGCTTATCTTCTTACCGTACGGCGTACTATAGCTACTATAACTCCTTATCTTTAAATATCTTAATCTCTTTTTTAAAGTTAATTTCCTAAGCACCCTTAGTATTAGTAGATAATATCGATATTAGGACCCTTCTAAGGTAATTATTTTAGAATAGCCTTATAATACGTCCCTTTAGTTATTTATCGGAGTAGTTAGCCGGTATATCCTAGTCCTATTAAGAGAGTACGTTAGGCAATCCGCCCTTACGGCCCGGCCTCTATTTAAGCTCGAATTAGAACCTAGATAGGAACTCCGACTACTATACTTATCTCTCTATTAACCTCCTTTCTAAGTAAAAGTACCTTAGGTTCTTATAGTCCGTTAGGATCTTAAAGTGCTCTACTACCTATAGCTCTAGTTCCTACTACTTTAAATATCTAAGAATAGCGAGTAGCTCCTTATTATAAATAGTATAGTTCGCTTCGGCTACTAAATATTTCTTCGAGAAGTATATAATATGTCGTACTAGTCTATCCTTATTATCTCTCTATAAGAGCACGCCTCCTAATATAAATCTTAAAGCGTCTGCTTTTATAATAGTCTCCTTTTCTAGATAGAAGTATATAAGGATTAGGGCCGTAATTAATAGGTCCTTAAGCTTCTCGAAGGCTTCTTCGTATAATTTATCTTAACGGAATAGCACGTCTTTCTTTATTAGCCGCGTTAGCGGCTCTACTATTACCGAGAACTTTAGTATAAATATCCTATAGAAGTTCGCGAATCTAATAAAACTCCTTATAGACTTAATATTCGTTAGGGTTACCTATTCCTTTATAGCCTTAACCTTCTTAAGGTCGACTCGGATCCTATACTCTACCTCGATAATAAACCTAAGGTATTTTATAGCCTTAACTTCGAATTTACTCTTATTAATATCTAGTTATAGCCCGGCGTCTATTAGTTATTAGAGGACCTTACCGACCTTATCGCGGTAGTCTTATAGGCTTCTAGAAGAGAAGATTAAGATATCGTCGATATATACTAATATAAAATCGTCTAGGTAATCCTAGAGCGCGCTATTAATATACCGCTAAAAGGCTACTAGTACGCCTATTAGGCTAAATAGAACTACTAGCTATTTAAAGGATCTATAGCGCGTTCTAAAAGTTATCTTTTCCTTATTACTAAGGGCGACCTTAATCTTATAGAACGCTACTATAATATCTACCTTAGTAAACCACCTTACTTTAGCTATCGTTTATAAGGTCTCGCTTAGTAAGGGTAAGGGATAGCGGTCCCTCTTTATTATATAGTTTAAACCTCTATAATCTACGTTGAAGTAGATGCCTCCGCCGGGCTTCTTTACTATAAGGACTAGTACCGCGGCTAGCGAGCTACTAACTCTAATAAAACCCTTATCGAGTAGTTCTATAAGAGTCTTCCGTAGTATTAATAGCTCCTCGCGGGATATACTATAAAGCGGTCCCTAAGGTAGGGGCTTCTCTCGGCTATACTCGTCTTTTAGCACTTCGATCTTTAGGTCTATACCTAGCCGATAAGGGGGCAGCTAGTCAGCTAGTTACTAAGAGAAAGCTTAAGACTACTTATAGTACTATAGTAGTAGCTTCTCTATTACGTTAGTCTTTAGTTTCGGTCTTAGGGCCTTATTAATATCCGCTATCGTAACCGAGTAAACTTTAATACCGCTTTTATATTTATTACGGCGTGCTTCTACTAAAAAGGTTATAGCTATAATATTAGAGATATCTAGCTAGGGAGGCTAGTAACGTCGTCGGTCTCGTACTTAAACTCTATTAAACCCGATCTTAAGATATCCTTCCTTCGTATAGATATAAACATCCTAGTCTTCTATCTATTATTTACCTAGGATTATATCCTAGTTTAGATCGTCGATAATATATATAAAAACATAATACTATTAATATCTATTAAGGTCGATTAATATATATATAATCTTATCGATTTTAACCTCCTTACTATCTCTAGCTACGTTCTCTAAGATACGCGGCTAAACGTATATATATAGTAACTAAAGAGAGTAAAATATACGCTTACTAACCGCGCTATAGTAGAGGCAGCTATAGTAGATAAGAGAGAGCACGAAGTCTATACCCTAAACCCCGTTTACCCTAACGTCTACTATAAACGGTTCTCTATCTATTTTTGCTTTTCCGCTTATATCCTATTCTCTTATAGCCGCCGCGTGTCCTTAGTCTAAATCTTTATCGCTATAAGAAGAAGTATCGTCTTCGGCGACCTTAGCTTTAGTAGCCGCTAGTCGTAACGGGGTTACGGCATTAACCTAAGTACGTTAGGTCGTATTTACGGGTCGGATAGGCGCAGCTAATAGACAGCGCTCGATTCTATAGTTATCTCTTCTATAACGGAGGCAACGCCCTTTACGGTAACGGGCGTCTATCTTAGCCTAGTTAACCTACTTAGCACGCTTGCCTAACAGCGCTTAGTCTTCTAGTCGCTTAGATTAGTAACTATATATATTCTTATTACTACGGGTGCGCGTAGCGTTTACTTTCGCGGATGCTTATAGAGTTAGTTCCTATTCTATTATATCCTCTCGTCTAACTTCGGTTTTCTAGCTAGACTATTTCTAGGCAGCCTAGCCTCTATAATTCTAATAGTTATTATAGTTATCTAAACTCTTTATATTGCCTCGAGGCCTTTTCTACTAACCTAATAATTCTATCTAGCTGCTTAGCGAATCGCACCTCCTCGCTAGCCTAATATAGCTGCTAATAGTAAAGGGGTTAGAGCCTATAAGGGCTGCTTTTATTTTATCGTTTAGTGCCTCCTAGAGGTAGGAAATCTTACTATTATCTAGCTAATACTCGGCGTTAGTATTAGCGATCTCCCTCTTAAAGCGGGGGTAAAAGGACGTAAACGGTTTATTCTCTCCTTACTTAATCGAATATAGGTTGCGTATAGCTCTCTACTTACGATCCCTCTCCCTATATAGTAATTTAAGGCGGTTAAGTAGTTTAGCAATATTAAACGTTTTCTTCTTAGTTTATATCTCTATAAATATAGTTACGTTATCTTTAGCCTTGCCTTCTAAGCTTATAAAGATATATATAAAGTAGCCTTCTATATCTCCAAGGGCTTCTTTATTAACTTATAGCTTTCCTTCGGTTTCTAGTTTCTAGCTTCGCTACTAAGCCTTATCGCCGCCGAATTTCGGTATATCTCGTAATTTAAGGCGCTTAGTTAGGTAAGGGTTATAAGTGGCGACTATACGGGTATCCTTAATAGGGATAGCCGGGGTAATAGATAGCGTTGGCTCTAGGAGTTTAGACGAACGGGCTTGCTAGTGTTGTTAGAGTTCTAGGGCAATAAAACGTTCTTTAAACTAGGTGTTTCTTCGGGAACTCTCTTCTCTTAGACTCCGTATCTCGGTAACTAGGGCGCTAAGGACGTCCGGCTATATATTATTATTATCTTCGGCTATCGCGACTTCGCTAAACGCTAATAGTTCGATAGGACTTAGTTTAGTGTCTTTAGTATCTTCGGTGTCTTCGGTGTCTTTAGTGTCTTTAATGTCTTTAGTGATCTTAATAGTATATAAAAGGCCTCTAGTAAGTTAATATAACTAACTAGTCCCTATACTATTTACTATTAAGATAGAGAAGAAAGAAAGAAAGAAAGAAAGAGAATCTACTATATAAGAGCATAATAGCATTTTATAGCTTCGAGCTAATAAAAGGTTCTAGAAGCTAGGTGGCGCAGCCGCCGTTAAAGCGGCTTGCCCGTTATAGCGAAGATAGTATAGCCAAAGAATAGTGTGTTTTAACGTATTGTTCGCCGTGCTCTAGTATAAAAAAAGATTCTTTATTTATATATTAATGTGCTCTAATTTCTCTCGGCTCTTCCTCCGCAATATCTCGGACATCTATCTTCTATCTAATTACCTGCTTCCTAGATACCTTTTTCCGTCACGACCTCCATCCTTCATATAGCCTAGATACCTAGATTATAAAACTGCTTCGCGACATTATACGAATCTTCTAGTCATAATAAGTGGCCGAAGTGTAAGACCGGTACGGCTGGCAGGATGGCGGTGTCGGTTGGGTGGGTCTGACGCCAGGTTTGGAAGTCACCAGCCACACGGCCCCCGTAACGCGGCCCCCGTAGCAAAGTGGTTCGGCCCGCATAGTCATTGCCATTAGGAAATCCGATTTAGCGTGATAGGGGTCGTCAACGGTTTCCACATCATGGACATGTATGTATGTGTATTTCACCCGGAGGATTTCTCCTATAGGGCCTAGACGTAAAAGCTACGGACATTTCAATATATTAATGCGTAACACCTTAAGCCCCACGGGTCAGCATACGCTACACCAACCTCGCCGCTACTCGCTCCGTGATAGGCCTGCTTAAAGGCCAATTTCTCTAAGTATTCAGCGTCCTACCTTCAGCAGCTAAAGCGCGGTCTATCGAAATCCGAAGTCGAATACCTATGTATTAGTATTGTTAAAGGTTAGTGCCATAATCGGTCCTAAGTGGATTCTCACTTCCGCTGCTTAGCCCGAAGGGCCAGACGCTGCCTGCGTCTCATCCCCAGGGTTCCGCGCCCGACAGTTCCGGCTATACGATTCGTGTGGTCTACCGCAGGGCACGCACTTTAGCACTGTCTCCTTGCATTCTCTGTGGTGATGTTCTGCTTTCGCGCATCTGCCACATCTTTGCGGCTTCTTGCATGAAAACGCCTTGTGTCCCATCTCTTGACAGTTGAAGCACTGAATCGGTCCTACGCAGCGTTTAAAAACATTGGTGTAGGCGGACTCTCCCGCAACATCGAACCACACGCCGTCCAGAAGTCTTTGCGCGTCTACGAACATAGTGGGTGAGCCAAAGCGAATCCCAATAAAGTGGGGGCGGGCACGATTACGAAACTCTTACTCTCCACTTTCTCTCCTTGTGGACAATCACTTCGTCCAAGTCGCACTCGACCTCGTTCGTGTTTTGTACCATCACAACAGGGATGTGACGCGGCGACGGTCACTGCGCTTGAGAATGCGCTGCCGGTAACGAGTCGAAGCAGTTCGTTTTATTCTCAGCCGCCGCACTGCAAGGATTGCCTTTGATTCACATATAGTGTAGGGATTTCATGATTTGCCATCTACAGCATTGGTTGGCAGCACGGAACGCGTGCGCCGCAGCCTCTCAATCACGAGCGCCAATGCCAACCCTAACCCGAAATCCAACCCTGATGCCCTATTTTCTGAGCTGATCTAACCCGAAGAGAGTAAAAGGATTAGTCTCCCCTTCAGCTTGTTTAGCCTCCCGTAGTAGAGTTGGTGCATTCAGTAGGTTCCTGGAGTTGTCAGCCGCATCAGCACGCCGCCGGCAATCAGACTCCTCGTCAAGCACGGGTAGGAACTCACACCAAATATCTTTGCAAGTGTAGAACCACATTCTATAAGTGCCTAAGAGTTGTCAGCCGTATCAGCTTGCCGCCAGCAATCCGACTCCTCGTCAGTCACGGGTAGGAACTTACACCTGAATTTTCAGGTCCATCAGGTTTAAGAATACCATGATCAATAAACCATTTTTTCCAAGATTCAGGAAGAAGACGCCGAAGAAGACCGCGTTTAAGACCAATATTTTCAAGACCTTCTGGAAGAGCACCAACAACAGCAGCACCACCTCCTAATCTGGCTCTGAACTTGTTCGGCTTTGCTGCAGGCTTGTTCGGCTCTGCTGCGGGCTCCTGGTTCTTGTTGTCGACTTGGTTCTTGTTTGCCTCTTTGGCCTCTTTGGTCTCTTTGGCCTCTCCTTTTTTCTTTCCCCGTTCCTCGTCGTTCGCCTTCTTCGGTTCATCTTCAACGCCGCAGAGATCTCTTTTCATTATGGAGCACGGCTTGTTATTTTTCCAAGGGACAACCGCATTCGAATTCGACCTCCATGAAGCCTTAGCGCCCGAGTTCTTGCCGATCTCCCAGACAGCGGATATAGATTCAGGGGGGATGGGACCAGCTACAGCGAACTCCTTGTTACGCATAACCGCAGTGTCTTGTCGAAAATCGGGGATAAAGTGTCCATCAGGGACGTTATTCGGTGCAATGACGTAAATATAACCCGTCGTCGTCTGCTGCCCCGTGCGGCCAAATGCATATGCCGCGGCTTGTTGACTAGACCGTGAAACTGCTACAAACCCTGAGCCAGGACGAAAATTGAGATGTTCCCCAAGATCCATGTTATTTCCTTGAGGCTGGAAACCTTGACTGAATATCACTTCAGGAGTTCGAGGATCGCCACGGAAGAACCACCCAGTCTTGCTGAAACCTTCCCCAGTCCTGGATGCAGCTTCTGAGGCTGTGATAACTGGAAATTTGGGATCTGGTCCGACGCGGCGCTGGAGAGAGTTTTTAGGTGTCGGCGAGTCAACCTCGCCTTGCGGGACAGCGGAGTTGCTAATGATCCCAGGAATAGTCCAGCCTATGGTCCCCGGGTCTATTTCAGTGGTGCTGCGGATTTCCAGAGGCACCGCAATGGCAAAGCCTGTAAACAATGCTAGTACCTTCGGGGGCTTCATGACTTTTCCAGTTGTGCAGTTGTGACTGTTAATATGAGTTATATTTGGCGTTTTTGAACCGTAGCCGGTTGAATCAGAAAATATACAACTGCGGGACTTACTGAAGACATCGGCAACAAGCTGCGAGGGAGATGAGGCACTGAGGCCGTGATATAATATTTATAAGAAAGGGCATTCAGATGACTCTTTCAACAATGCCCATGACTCGGCCAGGTGGCTGTACGGCAAGAGTGACGGCCCAGCCTAGATCTAAAAACTTATTACGTCGTCGCCATCGAGTCGTGCACTCTGGGTACTGGTCCATGACACCCCGGACCTTAGCACGTGCGCATGCGGCGATAATCGGTCCGAACTTTATCATGGGCGGGGTCACATGAGGCGAAGCCAGGAATGGAGGCGGGTCAGCATCGTAGGACAGCCCGTTTAGTGATTCATGCGAGAAGGGACCCACTTTTCTCGCGAAGGAGAGATCAAAAGTGGGTCTCAGCAAGCTGAGAGCGCGGGCGGAAGGATAGGGGCAGGCACAATTGAGTCCTAACGATGATGCATGTTTTCTATCTATCTGTGCGACATTGAGGGGGTATTTATACGAATAGATACCAATCTGGGACCCGTGGAGGGCCTGACTCAGGGCCAATTCCTATGTATCCCGATTAGGGCAATGTTCCTCTACTATATCGATACCTGTTAATAGACTGTTATTCTAGTACTCATGAGGCAGGGGCAGCACAAGAAAGGATAAAGATGCATGATCTAGCTAGAAAGAATCGGCCACAGGGCCCTATTTATGCCGTAGTCAGAGGGGCCCTCAGGTGACTTACATAGGCACCAAACTGACCCCATACGTGAGGTCTTTATGGGTCCCCGATACATGGCCTCATAATGATCCTTCAGGTGGCCTTCCCTTAATCCTTTAGGTGACCTACTAACAGCGGTGCCTATACTAGCCGACAATACCTGACTCAAGGGCGGCCAATACATAGGCGCCCGGGCGCCTAAATAAAATTGCGCGCCCGGGCGCGCTACTAAGAACCGTAGATATTATTGGCCCATAAAACAGTAAACTTATAGGCATATTCCTAGGTCTATAGTTTATATTAGAGAGCTATAAAGTATAAATTATCTACGGTTTAACTATAATATACTATTCTACTAAGCCGGCGGTCGAATATAAGGCTTTTTGCTCTCTACTATCCCTTTTAACGCTCTTTTATATATCTTTTACGCCTCTTCTCTTATTTACTAGTAGATTATCTCCTATCTCTTTAACTACTTAGGTTTTAATATGTTTATCCTCCGCTATACTTTAATCTAAATATACTATTATCTCTTCTTTTATCTATTCTTTTAATCCTATTAAGCTAATATAGCGCTTAGATATCTATTTATAGTTTAAATACTACTTATAACTCTACTTATTATACCTAAGTAAGAGCCCTATTACCCTATAATACTATTAATTAGTCGTAATATTACTAGTAGGCTATACTATATACTACGCGCTCCTTATAGTAACGTATCTTTTATATATAGCTTATAGCGAGTTATACCTTAGTAGTAAATCGAGAGGGGGCTCCTATAAATAGTATAGCTCTCCTTTAATAGAGCTTAGTATAGTTCTAATTAGACTATCTAAGATAATAGGAGAGTAAAGAGTTATAAGGGACTCTTATATAGTAGGTAAGACTAAGGGCGGTATAGATAGGGTTAGTTTAGTAGCGGGAGAGCGCTAAATAGCTTTTATAAGAGGATCTAGTATAGCCCTAAGTAATAATACTCCTTAAACCGCTAGAATACTTAGGGGAGGATTAGTAAAAGCTAGAACGGTAACTAATACTATATCTAGCTATAGGACTAGCTTTACTAGTACTGCCTTTATAAGTAACTCTTAGAACCTTAGAAAGTATACTCTTAAGGACCTTATATAACTAACTTAATAATATCTACTATATATATAAGGAGCTTTCTTACTAAACTAGATAATTTTAAATCTATAGGGTTCTTATTTAATACTCGTTTTAAACTAGCTAGTTATCTAAGAACCTTACTTTAAGACTTAACGTAGTTTAAGTATAGGTTATTACCGATCTATACCCTATCTTAGGTTCTAGTAAGGATAAAAATACTTAAGTAAAAGGCACTACTTTATATCCTTAAGTTTCTTTAAGGTATAAGAGTATAGTAGTCTATATAAGGAAGTAAAAGATTAACTATAAGGAGATTTTAAAGGCGCTAAAAGTAACTACTATTACTCTTATACTTTATATAAGGCTTAGTATAATACCTAACTATATATAGCCTTAAATATTCCTCTCGAAATATTTAAAGGTATCTATATCTACTAAGATACTTATATATAATTTAGCTCCTTTAGTTAGTTAGTAATTATATACTATATAGCCTACTAAGAGTTAAAAAGGTCGAATATAAATATCTTAATATATAATTTAATTAATAAGTAAATTCCTTTAGCCTTAAGGAGTAAATATTAGCCTTAAATTATAGTATAAGCTTTAGCGAACTACCTTAAGGTAGCTATATTACTAAAATATAAGTGCCTATCTACCTATACTTTTATAATTCTCTCTTTATATAGCTCTAGCTAGTATAGCTTAATATACTTAACCGCTTAAGGGTAGCTTTTAGTATACTTAACCTTAAATTTAGCTAACCGCTCTTTATATACCGCTTTAGTTAGCGAATCTATAATTAAGTGCTAAAATCGGTAGAATTTATTCTATATATCTTTTACTTAACCGCTTAGTTAGCTACTCTTTTATATAAAGTTAAGTTAATAGTACTATAGAGCTACCTTATTAATATACTAAAGGTAAAGTAATACTTTAAAGGTAGGAAACTAAGTTATAGTTATATTTATTATAATAAGGTATTAGTTAGTTAAGACTATAGAAAGAAGCTTATACTAGTAGAGTAATTTAAGGTAATAAAGTATCTATAAATAGTTTACTTTTAATTTACTAGAAAGAAATATAAATATAATATAGAACGAACGCTAATAAGAATTAACTCTAACTATATCGAGGAGCAGCTTAGCGTGCTTATTTATCTTATAGGTATAGTCTAGTAATAAGATATCTAGGTTATATTAAAGGTAGGTAATAGAGTCTAAATAAGTAAAAAAGATAGCTATAAGCTAATAGTTTAAATCTAGTTAAACTTAATACTAGAAACCCTCTTTATATAATTAATTAATAAGCGCTTATATACTACTTTAGCCTTTATATAGATCTCTCTTAGTTACTATAATTTAGTTATAGACGTCCTACTAAGTTATAAGGGTATTAGGATTATTATAAAAGTAAGTTCTAATATCTTAAAGAGTAGTATTAGTAATTATTAGATTTAATATAATTATAATATCTCTCTTATTAAGCTAGTAATACGCTAAGTAAATAGATATATCTAAACTTAATAGATAATTATACTAAGTATAGTCTTTATTTAGTTAATAGCTAAGGACCTAAGTACTTTTATTTAATAACTATTTAGCTAGTAATAAGAACTTATATCTAGCTCTCTAGCTATAAGTATAGCGTTTTTATTTAATAAATATACTAAGTAGTAGCTTATTTTAATTATATATAAATATAATTTTAACCTAACTATTAAAGGTCTTTATAGATTTTCCTATCGTAAATATATATCTTTATAGTTTCGCCTAAGAATTAATAGCGCTAAGTAGAGATTTATATAATTTATATATACCCTTTAGAGAGAGGGTATTATCGCTAAATATCGTCGGTCCCGTTAAATTTATTCTCTTAGACTTAACGTATTATATCGCGGTTTAGGGTATAGTTATAGAGCGCGTAAATAGAGGTCGATACGTGTGTTTATGGGCCAATAATAGTCTGCGGTTCTTAGTGGCGCGCCCGGGCGCGCAATTTTATTTAGGCGCCCGGGCGCCCATGTATTGGCCGCCGAGCGAGCGGCCGGTTTATTGCTGTTGTAAGTTGACAATGTGCATCGCGGCATCTTCGCTACACCTGTGGGCCTTCGCCACCTTGCGAATCTCCTTAATGACCTCGAGTCGTAACGAATACCATTGCAATTCGGGTTGCCGGCCGGCGCGCCACCGGCTTCCCCATCTGCTGTCGAGGTCGGCAATGGCGGGCGCCCCGGAGGCCAACCGTCCACTCGCTCCAGAGCGCCTCGACTGTTTTCAGTGTTCACTGCTCGGCACATGTGATGCCGTGGCGGCGGCTCTGGCTTGACCATGATCATGTCCGTCGCTGTCGGGCTCGTGTCTCGGCTGTCGACGATGCTCGACTGGGCCGAAACGAATCGGCTTCCCTCTCCTCGCCCTCCCTGTCCAACGACGTCGACCACGGCCGCGGCCGCGGTGGCCGTGGTGGCCATCGCCGCCTTAACTTGGAAATTGAAGCCGTTCGAAAAGAGTGACGACTGTGCTACCGTAAGACGTTCTTCGGTGGCTCGGAGCTGATCCGTCAGATCTGCTTTAAGCTAGACTGTCCTGGCTTCATGCCGCGCGTCGATAGATTCAAGGTAGTCTGCGAGGACCGGCATCACTTGGATCAGGACGGCCAGCTGGTTCTGCCGCTCCTCTTCGAGGATGAAGTCCGATAGCTGCTGCGCGAATGGCGCGTAGGCCGGGTGCCGAAAGACTGGGTGGTTCCAAACGGGGCTGCCGGGGTATTTCTTTAAGACAACCTCCCGCAGATAGAAAGGAAGGTTCGTCGAGCCCATCGCCGCCAGGTCGTTCTCCTGCTCGATTCCCGGGCCGAAACGGCCTCGCCAACGGTCTAGCCCGGGCCAGATCATCGAAAGGAGGACCTCCGGCGGCGCCACCCCGGCTCGGCGTATCTCGAAGTATCCGATCTGCGGCGGGTGGCCGGCCATCGTGCGCATGAACTTACGAGGTAACGAGTTCAGGTAACAGCCGACCATCTGCTCCTGATTCCAACGACCGGCCCGACGGATCTGGTCCTCACTTATCCCCTTCAGTTCCGCCGTCCTCGCTCCCGAGCTACGGCCGACGTGCGTCTTCTTCTGCGACGTGATCCCGGCGAAGGAAAAGGGTTTAATAACCTAGTCGCGCTGTGAGTTGTACGAGAAGGCCGCCGTCCGGCCGGCGCCGTTACCCGTACCACGAAGACCGCCGGCTAAAATCGGGAAACGGCTCACTACCGAGATCCCAACGATACAGGAGGTAAAACGAGAGGCCACCCAAGATGCAGATAAGCGGGTTCCTATTCCGATACGCGCCGGCAGTCTCGAGGCGCCCGTGCTGGTTCTGCTTGCCGGCCCGTGTCGTAAAGATAAGCGGCATGCACCGGGTCGAACCCTCACCGGCAAACTCGAACGTGAAGAGGTCCGAGATCTCTGCGGCCCGACGGTCGCCGCCGCGGGTGAGGAGGTAATGACCGAATATCAGCCGCCATCGACAGAGTCGAGATTACCTAAAGTTGTCGAGAAGAAGGTCCGAACGAGTTGAGGTCTCTAGGTCTCTCTAGGTAATACAGCTTGAAACCAGGTAAGAAGGGAAGTCTGCAGACTGTTCTTTCTTCTTCCTAGACCACTGAGGGGTCCGGAGGATCTCCTATTCGAACGGGGACCTTTTGAGGAGTCCGGCATAACTATTACTGGCTCGGGGACCTCGAGAGACTGAACTATCTATCTAATAGCTAGAAGAGCTATTTGATCGGGGAGATAGAGCTGATGTTGCTGACGTAGATGACTTACGTGGCCTTTAGTAAGTGGCAAGAAGTGCCCTCTTTCTAATAGAATGTATACTATACCTAAAAACGGGATATTAATTTAGGAGAAGCTTAGAGGGATATAAAAGGGGCTGTTTAGACGGGAAAAGGGCAACCGGGGGCAGAGCAAAAAACACATAAATCAAACGGACTATCAGATCATCTAAGAATCTACTACGAAAAGTCCCTCTATTTACTTTTATGCCCACTGTTAGAGGGAACAGACTGACGGTCTAGTCCGCACACGTATAAAACTCCGGTGAAAGAGGCAGGTTAGACATAGGGACTTGAGTCAGGGCGGCCAATACATGGGCGCCCGGGCGCCTAAATAAAATTACGCGCCTAGGCGCGCTACTAAGAACCGCAGACTATTATTGGCCTATAAATATATATATCGACTTCTATTTACGCGCTCTATAACTATACCCTAAACCGCGATATAATATATTAAGTCTAAGAGAATAAATTTAATAGGACTAACGATATTTAGCGATAATACCCTCCCTTTAAAGGGTATATATAAATTACGCGAATCTCTACTTAGTGCTATTAATTCTTAGGTAAAACTATAAGGATATATATTTATAATAGGAAAATCTATAAAAACCTTTAATAGTTAGGTTAAAATTATATTTATATATAATTAAAATAAGCTACCGCTTAGTATATTTATCGAATAAAAACGCTATACTTATAGCTAAAAAGCTAGATATAAGTTCTTATTATTAGTTAAATAGTTATTAAATAGAAGTACTTAGGTCTTTAGCTATTAACTAAATAAGGACTATATTTAATATAATTATTTACTAAGTTTAGATATATCTATTTACTTAGCGTATTATTAGCTTAATAAAAGAGATACTATAATTATATTAAATCTAATAACTATTAGTACTACTTTTTAAGATATTAGAACTTACCTTTATAATAATTCTAATACCCTTATAATTTAGTAGGATATCTATAACTAAATTATAGTAACTAAGAGAGATCTATATAAAGGCTAAAGTAGTATATAAGCGCTTATTAATTAATTATATTAAGAGGGTTTCTAATATTAAGTTTAACTAGATTTAGACTATTAGCTTATAGCTATCTTTTTCGCCTATCTAGACTCTATTACCTACCTTTAATATAACCTAGACGTCTTATTACTAGACTATACCTATAGGACGAATAAGTACGCTAAGCCGCTCCTTAATATAGTTAAAGTTAATTTTTATTAGCGTTTATTCTATATTATATTTATATTTCTCTTTAGTAAATTAAAAGTAGACTATTTATAGATACTTTATTACCTTAAATTACTTTACTAATATAAGCTTCTTTCTATATTCTTAACTAACTAATACCTCGCTATAATAAATATAGCTATAACTTAGTTTCCTACCTTTAAAGTACTACTTTACCTTTAGTATATTAATAAGGTAGCTCTATAGTACTATTAACCTAACTTTATATAAAAGAGTAGCTAACTAAGCGGTTAAGTAAAAGATATATAAAATAAATTCTACCGATTTTAGCACTTAATTATAGATTCGCTAACTAAAGCGGTATATAAAGAGTAGTTAGCTAAATTTAAGGTTAAGTATACTAAAAGCTACCCTTAAGCGGTTAGGTATATTAAGCTATATTAGCTAGAGCTATATAAGGAGAGAATTATAAAAGTATAAGTAGATAGGTACTTATATTTTAGTAATATAGCTACCTTAAGGTAGTTCGCTAAAGCTTATACTATAATTTAAGGCTAATATTTACTCCTTAAGGCTAAAGGAATTTACTTATTAATTAAATTATATATTAAGATATTTATATTCGACCTCTTTAACTCTTAGTAGGCTATATAGTATATAATTACTAACTAACTAAAGGAGCTAAATTATATATAAGTATCTTAGTAGATATAGATACCTTTAAATATCTCTAAAGGAATATTTAAGGCTATATATAGTTAGGTATTATACTAAGCCCTATATAAAGTATAAGAGTAACGGTAGTTACTTTCGGCGCCTTTAAAATCTCCTTATAGTTAATCTTTTACTTTCTTATATAGACTATTATACTCTTATACCTTAAAGAAACTTAAGGATATAAAGTAGTGCCTTTTACTTAAGTATTTTTATCCCTACTATAACCTAAGATAGGGTATAGATTAGCTATAACCTATACTTAAACTATATTAAGTCCTAAAGTAAGGTTCTTAAATAACTAGCTAGTCTAGAATAAGTATTAAACGAGAACCCTATAGATTTAAAATTATTTAGTTTAGTAAGAAAGCTCCTTATATATATAGTAGATATTATTAAGTTAGTTATATAAGGTCCTTAAGAGTATACCTTCTAAGGTTCTAAGAGTTACTTATAAAGGCAGTACTAGTAAAGCTAGTCTTATAGCTAGATATAGTATTAGTTACCGTTCTAGCTTTTACTAATCCTCCCCTAAGTATTCTAGCGGTTTAAGGAGTATTATTACTTAGGGCTATACTAGATCTTCTTATAGAAGCTATTCGGCGCTCTCCCGCTACTAAACTAACCCTATCTATACCGCCCTTAGTCTTACTTACTATATAAGAGTCCCTTATAACTCTCTACTCTCCTATTATCTTAGATAGTCTAGTTAAAACTATATTAAGCTCTATTAAAAGAGAGCTATACCGTTTATAAGAGCCCCCTTTCGATTTACCGCTAAGGTATAACTCGCTATAAGCTATATATAAAAGATATATTACTATAAGGAGCGCGTAGTATATAGTATAGCTTACTAGTAATATTATAATTAATTAATAGTATTATAGGGCGATAGGGCTCTTACTTAAGTATAATAAGTAAAGTTATAAGTAGTATTTAAACTATAAATAGATATCTAAGCGCTATATTAGCTTAATAGGATTAAGAGAATAAATAAAAGAAGAGATAATAGTATATTTAGATTAAAGTATAGCGGAGGATAAATATATTAAAACCTAAGTAGTTAAAGAGATAGGAGATAATCTACTAGTAAATAAGAGAAGAGGCGTAAAAGATATATAAAAGAGCGTTAAAAGGGATAATAGAGAGCAAAAAGCCTTATATTCGACCGCCGGCTTAGTAGAATAGTATATTATAGTTAAACTATAGATAATTTATACTTTATAGCTCTCTAATATAGACTATAGACCTAGGAATATACCTATAAGTTTGCTATTTTATAGGCTAATAATATCTATGGTTCTTAGTAGCGCGCCCGGGCGCGCAATTTTATTTAGGCGCCCGGGCGCCTATATATTAGCCGCCCGCTCGCTCGACTTGTTTTGTAAGCAGCGGCATTTCGGTTGGTCGGTCGGCCGTTAGGCCGACCGTGGATATCCTATTAATCACTCGCAAAGTTAATTTTTTTTCATTAGATGAGCTTTTTGCACCACCGATTTGGGCAGTTTTGCTGGCGGGGAGCTGTGGGATGGTGGCGGTACATAATCGATAAATAGGGCAAGAGGTTCAGCTTGCTAAAGAAGTTTGGTCCGCTTGCTCCGATATCGAGTAACAAAGACGGTAAACGCGTTATAGCAGATGAGCATATTGGGTAAAATGGTCAACTTGGCTGCGGTTTTGTCACGAACGGGGACATATCAATAATATTGTGCAACAATCCACTGGTGGCCGGTATGCCCCACGGGATGAAGACCTTTCGTTCCCAAAGGTATAAAGCGATGGCCCGTTTCCGAGAAAGCCGGAGGAAAGGTACGTCATGCCAATATCGTCAACCTTACAGTCGCCCGTAGAAGGTTGCTTGCTCGTAATCCCATACGCCTCGGTTCGACCCGCCCTTGCCCCTTTACGTCCGACGGAAATTAGAGCAGCATCACAGCGTATGAGCAAATGATTGATCGATGGCCGCCTCTGTGAAATGGCCACGTGCTGTACGGCCGTAATGGTGCCAGATGCGGAGAGACAACGAACAGCTACTATGCCCCACCCCCCTTTGGGTAACACCCCCCTTTAGGTAGCGCAATTAAGAAAACCCTTACTAAAAACCATCAATTTTACTTACACCGATTCTAGCTAGCTTTAAAGATATTTATAAGCCGTTACTTAGAGTAGATAGAGGATTAACTAAATTCTACTTTTTAATAGTTAAATGTTTATATAGGGGTCTATAGCCTATACGTACCTTGCACGCGAAATTATAATCTAGCCCCTTAATCTCCCTCTATCTCCTAACGATAATTCTTCTTATAATTCCTCTACTACCGGGCTAAAATAACCTTAAAGTAGCCTCGACGTGTCTATATAGAGGATAAAATAGTAAATACTATATTAAATATTATAAAAAATAGCTTATTATAGTATCGCGCTGCCTAAAAGTACGATATACCTTAGTAGTCTATTTCTAATAGACTTAAAGGCTAAGTAGCCTTAGCTAATTAAATCTAGCCTTATAATCTCTTAAGTAAGACTTAGGAGGCTCTTTTAGTATCCTAGATCCTTTATTAAGAGTCTCTCGGCTATGCTCCCTCTTATAGCTAGATCCGCGCTTATATTAAAGCTCTTATAAGGCAACTAAACAACGAGTAGATAGTAGGCCGTAATTAGGTCGCTAAATTTATCTATCGCTACCTAGGGATTAAGATTAAGTATAGAAGACGTTAGGAAGCTAATAGATTTAACGCTTTTACGCCTTAAGCGGTTTACTAGTACTTCGATATTAAGGAAAAGGAGTATAGATAGATTAAGCCGGAGAATACTATAAATATTAACGAAGGCGGTATTATATCTAGCTTTAGTAAGTTTTTAACTTACCTTTTATTATTATAACTAATTAAACTCCGTTTTCTAGGTTTAGATAGCCTTATAGTTAGGAGTGCGGACCTAAAACAGAAGGCCCTTTTAAAAGGACTATAGTCCCGTAACTAGACCTCGTTTATTAAAGCTATTACTATAAACGGCCGCGCCCTTACTCCTAGCATTATTTTTAAGGGCAAAGAACTTTAGAAATAGTAGTTCTTAAAGGAATTCGGTAAAATAGCTAACTAGTATTATATAACTTCGCCTAACGGGTAGATAAATAACTATATCGCTATTAAGTAGCTTAAGAGGGTCTATTTACCTTAAACGCGGCTAGCCGATAAGTTAGATACTAGACTAATTATATTAGATAGATATAGAAGCTATATAACGGTGCGTTTTTATATTTATCTACCTAGGAATTACTATTAACCGGAACTAGGATATATAGATAGCTATATGCTTTTTAAATAACGTTTATTGCTATTACCTTCCTGCCTACTACTCTTATAGCCTCTAGCTATTAGATAACGGTATATTTAATTCTATTAAAGCGGTATATCGGAAATAACTTTAGAATTTAACCTACCTAATTAATTCTGCGCCCGTTAATAAGGTTAATTTTATATAGGTATATACTAAAGTACGCGAGGTCAGAATAACCGTAAAGAATATATTGTCTAGCTAGAGGGTTACTAGGAATTAGCTAATCTTACGATATAAGGCATTGCGGCATACAGAAATTTACGTAGATATAATAAAGATATCTCTAAAGTCTACGCTATTTCTAGGTTCTAATAATACGCTAAGAACTAGCCGCTATATTCGAGACATTAGCAAGAATAAGACTCCTAGCACTCGGCGGCGTTTTGCCGTTATAGCTAAAGGCTTTAAAGCTTAAGAATAGACGCTTGCCGAATATAGTACTAGAATTGCGAAGCTAGAGGAAGAAGTAGCTCGGTTGCAGAGAGGCAAGAAGAGGAAAGTAATTCCGAACCCGAATAGGCGGTTTATAACTCTTAGTAAAGCTTTAGCAGCTAAGGAAGCTATTCCCTAAATTAGAAGCTAAGAAATACTCGTTATAGGGAATTCTGATACTAAGGTCTTAGAAGTGGAGATAGCGTTAGTGATCGTGGTTAAGGGAGCACCTAAGTCACTTCCTGTCACCACTAGGTCCGGGAGAGTAGTAAAAAAGCGCCGGAATTAATAGGAGCGTTTATTTCTTTATAAAATGATATAATTTTTGTATTTATTATTCTAAGTTCTGATTATATTGCATATAGTTCAAATATTAGACTTTTAGTGGGGATCTTTTCAAATGCGCTACCCAAAGGGGGGTGTTACCCAAAGGGGGGTGGGGCATGGTACCAGTCTTTTGGCTGCGTCGGACTGTTGACAAGGACTTGATGAGAGTAAGTTAAAGAAGCAACTAAAGACGGACGACAAGCATCGACTGCTTCACATCTCTACCGGGGGACGCCTTGATGAGAATGGTAAAAAGGTAAGCCAGGCCACGTCTCAACACTTCTTTGGGGATTCGGGGGACCGCGCCGTCCATTCCTTCATCAGAATCTTGCCCCGGCCCTTAGAAAAACTGAGGAACTGGAGCACAGCTATGGACTGTTTCCGCTCATGGCCACTAGGGAGGAAGACCTCAAAAGTCCTGACCAAGCGAGGGAGAGATCTCAGAGACATGGGAAAGGGGTGAGAGCCAGGGGAAAGGTTAGGGGCCGAAGAAGCGTGTGCATTATATGGCTTGCGCCCTCTGGTAGTGACAAATTCAACCTAGCCGACTGCAATCCGCTTTAGAACGACCTCCTCCGTCTCCCATCCGATTAATTCCTACTGAAACGGATGTCAGACCAGCTGCGTGGAAGTGCTAGTCAAGTTGAATTGGCTGGTTACGCACTGTGGTTTCAGCAAGAACGAAGACGCTCTAGCTATGAGTCAACTTTGCCATTACCGCCCTTTTCGCACCCTTTGTCGATCTTTCTCAGGGTTTGTATAATCTGAACGCCCACCGATTTACTCTTGCCATCATCCACCTGCCTCGTCCAGAACGTGTTCCCGTCTGTCATCAAAATAGACCTAATGCGCTCCGTTTTCTTTCGCCCGAGTCCAAGAATCTCGCTCTTATTAGCCTCCAGCTTGGCCAAATACTTCTTCCTCTTCACGAAGTCTGCATCGCTCTCTTTACAGACCTGTTTCGGCCCAATTCTCTGCATAGCAGACTGCACCACGGCCCTCATGGCCAAGGAGATGTGCTCGCTAATGATGATCGTGATTAGTAGTTTCCACCAGCTACTTCCGTTCGAAGTCCAACCCCCCGGTGCATCAGGCCCGAATAAATACGCAATCGCCGCAGTAGAGATACTCCCAAGCCAAGTCAGGAACCACAGATTCTGCGCCCAAGGGCCGATACCATCTGTCCGTAATGGCGCAGGTCGCTGATGCTCGATGCATATCTTGAGAAAGTCAGAGCGTAACTCGATCCAGTTATTAATTAGGAGCCCAATCGGCACCAGCGGCCAGACGGGACTAAAGAGGGCGAGGTATCCAAATTGGAGAACTATCTGTGAGATGTCGGCCTGCACGTCGTACGGAGGGAGAGAAGCCTGACAGCGGGCGGCAGACAAAAAAGCCTGCTCCTCGGGGGGGTCCTGGACGACGCGCTCTATGGGAACGGCGGCGGACTGCGAGACACGATAGTTGCGATACCAGGAGCGGATATATTGTTTGACAAAAGGGATAATGAACTTTTCGCCAAAGTGTGTGATTTGGCCAGTAATAGTAAGCGTAATGACTTCGCGCTGTAATCGGTTTTTGTCGCTGTGGAAGGGGTTTTTAACAAATCGGGCAGTATCTCCTTGTATGTAATGCAAGAAGCTTTTCAGTCGTGGGACAAAGAGGCTTCCAAATGGAAAGTAGACAAAGGCAGTGAGGAAAATAGGGAGATATAGAGTGGTGAAGTTTAGCATGAACACTTTCTGCGCCAGCGACTGCTCGTGGGAATCCGCGGTTCTATGATTTTCGAATCCAGTGAGGGCTGTAGCAGTGCGCTCGAGGAACTGGCTGACACATGGCATTATTATAGCCAGAAGCGTAGGTGGGAGGTATTCCTGCTAAGCTGTAAGCCTTATATCTATAACGTAGGAACTGATTGTCAGTTCAGAACATACCAGATACGATTTATACTGTCCATCGTATACCTCGGAGATAAGAACCTCAATAGCAAGTGCCATAGCAATCAAAGCCCCCAAAACTAATGTAGCAAGTAACATAAAAGGGATTTGCACCAGCCGTCTAACGATTTGTTTCCACTCAGGATAGTAGTGCCTCAGTCGCCCTGCATTGTCCATGACGGACTTCTCGAAGATAAAGGGAGGCCGATCGGTCTTGAGACTACCGACCCCTTTGACGTCCCATCGAATGCTCAGATCGGTCTCCTTTAGCTTCCAGTATTCAATGAAAACTATACACCATAACCCAGTTAGAATCGTATAAAACCAAGAATACAGCGGCAGAAATGCCCATGCTAACAAGCCCGAAAAAGCCGGGAAGAAGAGGAAGAGAATATATGTTTGGTTAAATGCGAAGTAAAACGCTGCCTATATTTATGGTCAGAGCATTCAGTCAGTGTATGGCTAGACTACTAACCTTTGAGCCGAACAAGTCCCGAATCAAGTCAAAGTCCTCGTCTCTAAGGACTGGTTTCTTGCCGAGACGTCTAAGCAATGATCCGCTGGCCCGAGGATTATGAAGTGGAAAGTACGACGTCACGTTTCTGAAAAGTCCATATCCTGGTGTGATGCCAGCGCCGCCCATTTCTCTGGGCCAGCTCAACAAATGATACATAGACAGAAGGTCTTCCGCCTCATATCTAGCATCAACAGTGGAATGGCTTCCGCTGTCTGGATGTACAGCAGTGACGCCGTAGAGCCAGTCTCTCACTCTAATGAAGGCATATTTTTGTCAGTGAAAAGGTTGACAATAAAACGAGTACCGGGCATTGTACTCACCTTGATTTATACACAGCATTACTGAGAATCTCTCGTGGGGCTCTGACGAAGACCAAGAGGGACTCGTCATGTCCAGCTCTCACCTCGGTGTGGAGCCCAACTGCCTCGAGATCTTCCAAGAGGGCGACAAAATCCTGAATTGCCGTGTCGTAGTCTAAGTCACTTCGAGTTAGCTGGGTTTCTAAGTGGCTTCGAAAATGCATCGTGGTAGCTTACCGACGTCATGAAATCCGTAATTTATCACATACTTGTCGTTATACGTCAGATTCTGCAACGCAGAAGCGAGCTGCGGGGGAACAAGTTCTCTCTGCGCCGCGGCAGAGAGGACTTTCCACAATGTTTGATTCCTAGTTTTCAGGGTCATTACTGCCTCAAGAGCCATGGAGTTAAGGCTGCGAAACCGCCTCATAAAATTCGTGACATAGTCGTCCTTCTCTTGAGCCAGATGTTCTGGCACGGGCAGATCCGAAAGGCCTGCCGCAATCTGTCGCTCGGACGAAGATGGCTGGCTTCTCTTGGCCAACGAGGGCGGATGTGGCCCGATTGGCAGGCTTTTGAGATGGATTGGCTTCTTCGGCGCTGCTGGCTTGCTGCGAGTTGGCCTCGTCGAAATCACCGACTGTGTCGTTGATGCCCCACTGTCCTTTTCCACCAGACCCCCTGTTTGTCCGGCTTCCGCTCCGGACCTTACCTTGAACTTAGACACGTATGTCGATTTACGCGGTATCGCAGGTCGCGGCTTGTCCATGTCTGGTCTGCTGGCTGTTGTTGCTGCATTCGTGTATTTTCTGTGTCCTTCTGCAGCTCTCGGGACGTTGGACGTGCGCTGCACTTCGTCCATCATACTCTGGACCTGGCTCTGAATGCCGGCCGACCATAGGGCAATCCCTACCTTGGGTTTCGGAACGTGTGGTGGGCTTCCGCCACTGGCCACTCGCCGCTTGTACTCCACTTGAGCGGCAGCGACTCGCCCTAGCTCCTCTTGAAGCTGATGCTGTTCAAGCTGCCGCATCCTGTCTGGAGTTCGCCCGACCTTGAGAAAATTGCCGGACGACATTGTTCAACTTGCCCGACAGACAATGAGGGAATGACATTGGAAGCAGTATTGGAGGGACTGATTGGAGCGGTAACTTCTGATCGGAGGAAGTGAGATGCTCTTAAACCGTAGACTACAACGACACCACAAGGGGGCGGAGCAATGCCTAGGAATTTGTTGACGCTGGTCCGTGGGTCAAGACAGTATTGTACAGCCCCCCATTTGTCTCACCGGAGTGACGCGTAGCATGCCTCTCAGATTGAGACCCGGCTTCGAATCGAGATTGCACCATCTTGGACAACCTGTCCCTTGTTCCTTGGGTGAGTTGCACAGATATAGTATTCTGTCGTAAATGTCGAATTTTCGGCCTACGCGCCAAATTTCGTTGTAAACCTCTCTCTACTGATTCCTGTTAGTAATAGACTTGAAAATAGAGAAGAGTAGTGGGCAGTGATCTTGTTGGACTGGACTGGACTGGATTTCGAGGTCGAATCCAGTCCAGTCCAATGCACAGCGCTGGGGACTCCAGAACCGCCAATGCAAATCCAAGTGTAGGGACCTGTGTGCCTTGATGGCATCGCGAAGCGCCCCTAGAAGCTCCGATTTCGTTTCGTACTTGTGGATCGCCCGGCTAGCTGGGGAGATCACTAGACATCGAAAGACTCGATTATCATACGGTCCGTTGTTGGGAGCGAGAAGACTCGTTCCTTAGGCTCCTTCCACATCGTACGTAACCTCGTTTTATCTTTGGCTCGACCTTTGACTATTAGATCTTAATCGCTTAAACGGGTTCTAACCGATATCAACTAACTTACGCTTTCTTAACGGCCTATTAGCGACGCTTAAGCTATAAAGCTCGCTAAATGACCGAGAAAGGGCACTGGGAGGCTGAGACCGGGAGAATGACTGCGAAAAAGTCGACGTAGTGCGTAGAAGGCCTTAGAAGGAGTAAGGCTTCGTAAATATTAAGACCTAATCGCATCTTATTAATGCTAGTTATGCGACGATGGCCGATTAACTTAGTAATGCCCTCGACTCCTCTCTAATAGGCTAATTTAAGAAGGTCTGCCTCTGGCTTTCGCCTATCGGACGTCTACGAGAACTTAACGATATAACTGCAATCCTCGGAGCCCGGAGGCTTCGTGAGATAGCAAGACGTCCTACGGCAAACGACTGCCCGTTAACGGGTGAAAGGCTACGACTCTAACCGCAGCCTCTTCCTGCCTAAAGTCCCGTTATAGTCAACGTATATTAAGCGACTATTGCTATCTATCTCTATAAATATATCTAACCCTAGTTCTTCGTTATCTATTATTACGTAACCGGCAATTACCTATATAAACCGTTTAGGCTTCTTATAGATATCGAATACGCTAGGACTATAATATCCCGAGCGGTCGAATACCTAAACCTCTATCTCGCGCCCATAGATTGTAAACGCGTAAACGTATCGACGTGTCGGCTAGTAGGAGAAAACATCTCGCACGTATCGTCCGATCTAGAGAAGCGTCGCTTTCTTTATTATTATTAGACGCCTTAAGCTCACCAATCACTTCGACATCCCTCTAGTCGTGCGCGGCATCTAGCGGCTGCCTATTCTTTCGCTTAATAAAGAGATCGATCTATCGCTGAGCTTCGGCACCGATAAGATCCTTCGGGTTCGTGGTCGAATAGTAGCGGCGTCGTTCCTCTAAGAGGAAGCCGTCCTAGAATCGGAACCACTAGTCTAGAACTTCGGCCTAGATAGGCGGGTTATAAAGATCGGTCTACGCACTATCGACGTGCCGATTCTTCGTCGCCTTATAGACGCCTAAGACACGGCGCGTCTAGTTTTTCCCCTTAAAGTATTTCTTAAAGAATCCTTCCGCGTCGCGGTATATGCAGAATCTAATCTCCTTAAAGACCTTTCTTTCCACCAACTCTCGTGTCTGTTCGGTACCTTGCTGCGAAGCGGAGGAATGGGTAATGGGCGTGCTGTCGAATGTCGCAAGAACGCTTGCAGGAGGCGTTACTCGGGTGAGAGTGGCGACAAGATCAAGCACGGCGTTCCAGATCTTGGCGTCGGACGCCTTTTAAGTGACGAGCTTAACTAGTGGAAAGAAGTGACCGTAGTCGTGGTGGCCTTAACGAAGATGGCCTAAAATAGTCGCGAGTTCGGATGCTACGTTTCGATTGTTGAAAGGCGAATGGAGATTAAGGGCTGTCTCTTGCCCCATCAAAGCAGTCAATAGTCGCCATATCGCCTTCTTGCAGCCTTCTTCGGAGTCATCAGTGGCATCACCATGAGGACCAGAGATTGACACATAGGACTGCTCTGCATCCTTAAGTGACTTCCTCAGGGGGCACAGAGAGCTGCCCAGGGCAGGGGGTGACGCGCGATTATGTCGCGATCGTGTTCCGATAGAGTAGCCATTTAATCCGGTAACACGTAGAAAACGCAACGATGCTGCACTGAGGTACAGTCGACAGGCTCAGCAGACATCACCAGTAAGGTAAGATATCACGGGGATGCTGCAAGAATGAGGATTGGGGGCCCGAAGTAGGAATGTGTGAAAAGCGCGAAGGGAGCTTGGCGGAAGAGCGCGTGGCGTAGCTGGACATCGGGCCGAAATTCATCCGGTCAGTGATGTACATGCCTCAGGCAAACACGCCAGGGCATCCACTGGCTAATGCTTGCATCGGCCTCAGCCACCATTGACGCCGTCCGAAAGGATTCATTATGGCCTGTGCCACTGTCGCTATGCGCAGCTAGTCTTGCCACCCGCGTCCTTCGTCACATTTGGACGAGTATAACCGGAGATATCATCATATTGGCCAATGGCCTGAGCTAGCTGAGGTAACGCGACAATATTGTGTCGTCATCGGTACGTACCTTAGCTTCCTCTAATCCAAGCCACACCACAAGCCCCAACGCTCAGTTTCAGCCCGAGGAAGCGATGCCTAACGCATCGCGCCGATCGGATTGCTCAACAAAATCACATGTTCATCAACCCCACTTCCCCCGCTGGAAACTTCAGGATCACACTGCCACCGAGCATCCAACTCCTGTCCAGCCATCTTTCTCGTTATGACTTGGTTCTCTGGCCTGGCGACATTAGCCGCCTTTCTTCACCCCACCCTGCATTAATGCGCGGAAACTGCATCCAGCATACTTTATCAAGCGTGGATTTACGAACCAGTCTTGACGAGCCACATATTCCATGCGGAGCGGAACCTGCGCCGATTTTGCGGGCGTTGGGACATGAGAAACAACTGAGGCAGGCTCTGCTAACCGCGTCGATACTCCACTTGCTAACATATTCGCCGATGAGTTCCAGGTCATTCGAGACGGTATCTGTGCAGTTCCGAAATACGACTGAGCAGTCTGAACCACGTTATTCTTCAAATGGCTACTGTAACAGGACAACAATTGGTAATGGCTTACACGACATGCTGGTTTATTGGTGCTAATCTAAGTCTACAGAAAGACGCCTGCTCCGCCCTCACCAACAAGAAACGTTTTGCAGGTCAAGATAAGCAGTGGAAGGTTATTCATCCAGCAGATGAGAGCAGGCACCTATCTTGGTATCTCTGCGAAGGTGTACATTTTTGGCTCCCTAACAAAACTGCACTATGGGATACTACTGGTGACGGGGAAATAGAGCTTCCCGGAGGTGTTGGAGTGACGATAGCTGATGGATATTACATTTGTGAGTAAGGTGAGGGTTCAATGCTGGAACGAGATCGAGGGCAGCGCCGGATCTGACGCACAGCCACATCGTCCCATCGGGTTCAATTTGTACACAATTTGTCAGCAGTGTGCTGTAAAGTTCCTTCTCCTTCGTCCGAGACTGGCTCGAATTCATCGCATCGAGGACTGCTTGTGGAAAGAGGGTGTCCGGCCCTAGATAAGTTACTATGAATCCTGCTGCAAATGCGCATTAGATTCAGGCATATTCCCTTATACCAACGACAGTGCGTGCTCCCTATTCCCATGCCCGTCGGTCAAAGACTTCGTTTCCTTCCCGGGCCTGCCCACCAGTCAAGGAAACCCGATGCTGATTAGCAGACAACCCGATTTGGCAACATGCTCGAGAAGAAGCCGATAACTTGATATTCTCCGATTCTCGGGGGTTTCTCCTACTTCTGCTTTTGTGTCGGTGTCGGCTAAACGCTTTAGAAGAGGCATCGTGAGATCTTCATAGGACGGCCAACGAGCCACATAACATGGAAGTTGTGCAGTGTTACATCTATAGCCATTTTAGTGGGCGAAGCTATCGCCCTACCCGAAATCTTATCGGTTTAACGAAGGGCTAACGGACCCATAGCGAGGCACACCTCGTCATCTTTCGAGAAGCGCTAAACTCCTGCCCCCATTCCAGGAAGTGGGTTGACTGAAAAGAGCGCCTAATAGGCCGTGAGCACGCTGCTAATTGCGTTATCATTCGTCTTTCAAGGGTCTTCAACGTTAGCTGCTGCCGTTGGTTGTTGATTAATTGACACCGATAGCTGCCGAGTGAACACGTCGGAGTTTCTGCTGCGAATTTCTATTTCGACCCTTGATGTTTTTCCTCCAACGCAAGACGGGGCCAACAGCGACGGCCATCATAGTAAGGGAACAGGAGGTAACTTCTCAGCGGACACTGCTCCCGCGCCCGCCTCCATATGTCACTGATATTGCCTCGCCCTTGCCGAGAAAGGCCTCCCACGGCACAAATAGGCAAGATGCTGCACGGCTGCTCTGCGACGGCATAGTAAGCCCCCGCGCGTCGCGACCCCTCTTCCCCCGCCACCCAGCCGCTCTCAAACGGCACCTCTCCCAGGCACCGGAGCACCCTTCCTTGCCAACGCGTTAGAGCCCAACGATCGAAACATAGTCGTATAGGCACAAGCCTCGTAGGACGTGTCCGCGATGGTGGTACGCCTCGGCGAAGCTGATCCTCTCGCCTGCTTCTTCCACGGCGACCGACTCGTACACGGATAGGTCTGCGACCGCGGTGCCGCTCTCCTACCGAAGTTATAACCACAATCTAGAGACGTGCCAGCACAGCACCGACACGCTCAGGTACACACGCCCAGGCGCTGCCACTCGTGAACTCGCTTGGGTACCCTAGGAGATGGGCGACGACCTCGACTTGCGACAGAGCCCGCTCCGTGAGCAGCCGATTCGCCACTCTCATCAGAAAACTGTCGCGACTTGTTTTTCGTTCCGTCGTCGCAGACAACACCATTTCCGGCATCCTCCCCAGCGGCCGATTGTGACGGTACAAGTGCACGAACAAGGTCGAGTGCGACTTGGGTAAAGTGATTGTCTACAAGAGAGAAAGAGGTTCCTAAGGAAGACTCTGACTTTCGCTATTTACATGAATAAAAGCGGGACCTTTCATAAAGTATGAAAGTCACATGATCGTTCCCTCACACCGATTGACCACCTGCCGAGACGACGGGCAGCAATTCCATGCACGCGCTTCCACGTCGTATTACCCGGGAAAGCACCGGGGAAAGGTAACTTGGGGCATTCTGCTGGCCTTTTCTGCACACGATGCGGCGATGCCCTGTTCGCTCCGGACCTCCGGAAGGAACGTCTTTCGACCTTAAGATACTGTATCTCTCAGCAAGCTGAGAGCGCGGGCGGAAGGAAAAGGGCAGGCACAATTGAGTCCAAACGATGATGCATGTTTTCTATCTATCTGTGCGACATTGAGGGGGTATTTATACGAATAGATACTGTCGGCTAGTATAGGCACCGCTGTTAGTAGGTCACCTGAAGGATCAAGGGAGGGCCACCTGAAGGATCATTATGAGGCCATGTACCGGGAACCCATAAAGACCTCACGTATGGTGCCAGTTTGGTGCCTATGTAAGTCACTTGAGGGTCCCTCTGAGTACGGCATAAATAGGGCCCTGTGGCCGCTTCTTTCTAGCTAGATCATGTGTCGGTAGGTCTCTACACTGGCCTGCGTGCAAATCGCAATGGTATGTGTAATCGTTGATGTCTGTTCTAGAAAGGGGGAAGAGGGGGCAAAGGGCACGGAGCTAGCTATGTGTCCTCCGCTATTTGGTCTGAGCTCGCTGAGGTAAATAGCGGAGTACTCCAGGTAACGTGACTTTTTCCAAAAACGGTTAGACTCCTCTTGAAATGGCCTGAGCGCTGCTGAGGTAATGGTACAATGGATTACTACAATTCCCACATCATGCATCTTATCCTTTCTTGTGCTGCCCCTACCTCATGAGTACCAGAATAACAGTCTATCGACAGTAAATTACCAGTCTTTTGGGGTTTTTTACGTCAGTTAGTAAGTTGGGGTTTATGATGTCAAAAAGGTATCCCTACCCACGGGGCGTGCAGGGCCGCACGGATCTGGACCGCCTCAACTCAATGTGCTACCCAGAGGGTGAGCGAATCCCGTGGGAATTAGGCATTACCGTGGTGACGCCGCTGAGCGGGAGCTGGTGGAACCTCAACATGGAGGCCAGCTTGTCGATTTAAACCCAGCAGCGGTCGATGATGCGCACCTTCATGTCCGAGCATGTGTGGAAGGAGGATTTGCCGACGGAGGATGAGGCCATCATGATCCTCAACCAGGACAATGATAGCGCGATGCCGGTGCCGGCCGTCTCATGGAGGCCGAGGAAAGCGTACCGATTTGGGGAAGTCCACATGTCAAAGCTAAAGCTGATTCTCGTCACTGCCATCTCCAGTTGATTGGATATTGCTCTTTTTCACCTCGAATACTTTACGCATAGTCTCACGCACTGACTGCCGGCTCCAGGGCACCTCCTTCGCTAATGACGCATGGTGTAGCTCAAGGATTCTTCGCAAGTAGGGATTCGACGGAGCCGTAAAAGGAAGGTTGACAGTGACGATCCAGCCGACTGTCAGCTCCTTAGCTTTATTGACATTGGATCTTGCAGCAGGAAGCTCCAAGCGGAGTCGTTTCGAGGGATGAAGGATTTCAGTGCGGGAGGAATCTTTTGCAGCATCGCCCAACGACTGGTCCATTTGTGTGATTATATGGGACCTTATAAAGTCAGACACTGATAAGTTGAACGGCCGACTCATAAGGAAGCCATATACCTTCAAAGATGCTCGATCGGCGACGTGGTGTTGGATGCGACAAATAACGAGCTCTTGTAAACCAGGACTAATTTCTGTGAGGAAGAACCCGAGCGCTTGAATCCAGCTTCGCCGGCCTTTGCGGTTCTTGTTTGCGATATACTCTTCTGGTATATATTTCTTGCAGCCGATGCGAACCGCAGGGAGCTCGGCAAGCGTCGTTCTCCCGGATTCGCATGAACGGAGGCAGCGTCGAGCTGCTGTTAGAGCGATTTGCGGTGGCCGCTAGTCCCCAAAAGCGATGTCAGAGACAGCTGCTGCGCTGCCATGGCGGACCGAAGGGTCGCGAACTAACGTCTGCCAGGGAAAGGGGCGACGGGATGGACGCCTTAGACCCTCGTTTTAGATGAGACGCGTGTCGATTGCACAAGCAAAAAACACGCGGTCTGCGACGCCAACAGAAAGCCGTGCCAAAAGCCTTGCATATGCTTGTGCTTCTGGAGTGCGACAACATGTGAGCGAATGCGACAGTGCATGCATTGGTGGGCTGACGGGGCCGTCCATACAGCCCGTGTAAGGAGCACCCGTCTAGTAATCGGGCCTTTCCCAAACTCCTCAGTGCATGCACGGCGATGCAACCAAGTTCGCTCCGGCCTAGCCCCTTACACCATGGCTCCGTGTCGGCTTCGGGCCTTGAGCCGAGGCGCTCCTCCACAGGATCCCTGTTGGCTCGGCATAATCTCACGACGAAGAGATCGACGTCCGTCATTGACCCTAAGGCGGCCGAGCGCCGACCATGTTGCGACTTGCATGGGCTTACCGGGGTGACTGTCGTCAACTTGATAAAGGTTCGCTTCACACCCCAGCAAAACGGCTGAGTCAAAAGCTCTGAGACATTGCGCCAAACTGGACTTCACCATGGCCGTGTCCATCTCTCAACTGGCCTTTGAGCATCACCGCGTTGCCCTTGGAATTGCGGAGACCAAGCCTCGCATTTCATGGCGCTTCAGCGGCCACGCTCGAAACTGGGTACAATCCTCTTACGACATCCAGATCAGCCGCGATGGACATGCCCATGCCTCGGCATCGTGCTACTCGACCGCCTCTTCCCAGTCTATGTACGTCCCATGGCCCAGTGAGCCGCTCAAGGCCACAGAGCGTGCGAAGGTCCGCGCCAGGGCATATGGCAACAATGGCCAGTCGCCGACTCCCTGGTCTGACTGGGTTACTGTCGAGGCGGGACTCTTGACGATCGAGGACTGGGCCGGTGCCGTACCTGTCGCCGCGGACCGCGAGACCGAGGTCGATGGCCCAAAGAAACCCATTTACTTTCGCAAGTCGTTCCTCGCTGGCCATGACATCGAGTCTGCGCGGCTATACATCACGGCGTTGGGCTTATATGAGGCCGAGATTAACGGCAAGAGAGTCGGCGATGCAGTTCTTTCGCCGGGGTGGCAGTCGTTCAACTACCGTCACGTGTATGATACGTACGACGTCACGGCCCTGATCAAAGATGGAGACAATGCAATTGGCGTCAGCATCGGCGAGGGCTGGTTCGCAGGCAGGATCTCATTCTTAGAGAAACGCAACCTCTGGGGAGACACACTCGGCGTCCAGTCGCTGCTCATAGTGACGCTCAAGAATGGGAGCACCATCAAAGTCCCCACAGATGAGTCCTGGAAAGCAAACACGGGTCCCATCGTGCAGTCGGAGATATACAACGGAGAGTCTTATGATTCTCGGCTGGAAGCTAGCATGAAAGGCTGGTCAAGCGCATTATTCAACGCCACTAGTTGGCTTGCCGTCAAGAAACTCTCACCGCTCAAGGGCAAGCTCGTGCCTGCAGACGGACCACCGGTTCGAAAACTTGAAGAGAGAAAGCCCGAGCGCATCTTCAAGTCTGCGTCTGGAAAGACCCTCATAGACTTGGGCCAGAATATGGTCGGATGGCTTCGACTCAATAACGTTGAAGGCCCCAGTGGCACCACCATTACCCTTCGCCACGCCGAGGTCCTAGAAAACGAAGAGCTAGCGCTAAAGGCATTGCGATCTGCCAAAGCAACGGACACCTTTATCCTGAATGGAAACGGCAAGCAGACGTGGGAGCCGCACTTTACATTTCACGGCTTCCGGTTTGCGCAGATTGATGGATGGCCAAAGGACCAGCCCCTGTCTCAGGATTCCATTACGGGCATCGTTGTCCACAGCGACCTCGAGCAGACGGGCTGGTTCGAGTGTTCGCACCAGCTCCTAAACCAGCTACACTCCAACGTGCGGTGGTCCATGAAAGGCAACTTTCTGAGCATCTCGACGGACTGTCCGCAGCGCGCTGAGCGCCTTGGCTGGACCGGCGATGCCCATGTTTTTGGACCGACTGCCAACTTCCTCTACAACACGGCTGGCTTCTGGCGGGGCTGGCACAAGGACATGTACTCTGAAATGCAGCGGCAGGGTTCTATGAGGGTTCCTTGGTTTGTTCCCACCGTACCGCCGGACAGCAACAACCCGCCTGGCGCCGTCTGGGGCGATGTTTCGGTCGGCGGCCCCTGGAACCTTTTCCAGGCCTTTGGAGACGTCGGCATGCTCAAGGAGCAATACCCTCAGTCAAAGGGCTGGATCGACAAGGGCATCCCCCGCCAAGCAGACCGTCTCTGGGACCGCAGCGGTCATCAGTTCGCAGACTGGCTCGACCCCAAGGCACCCCCTGAAGACCCCGGCGCCGCAACGACAGCCAAGTATCTCGTTGCTGATGCGTACTTGGTACGCATGACGGAGTTGCTCGCCAGCATGTCCACTGTCCTTGGCGATAAGGCCGGCGCAGCCGAATACCGCAAGCAGCACGCCGACCTCCGGACCAAGTTCCAGCAGGCGTGGATCAAGGACGGTCAGATGACCAATCGTACGCAGACGGCTTATGCTCTCGCCCTCGAGTTTGGCCTCTACACCGACGACAAGCAGAGGTGCGCCGCAGCAGACACTCTCCGCGATATCGTCTCCAAGAACGACTATCTCGTCGGCACAGGCTTGGCTGGAACACCCGCCCTCGGCCCAGCATTGCGCGACATTGGCGCCGCCGACGACTTTTACAAGATGCTCCTCCAGACCAAGGCCCCGTCCTGGCTGTACCAAGTCGTCCAGAACGGGACTACTACATGGGAGCGCTGGGACAGCCTCCTACCCGACGGGCACGTCAACACGGATTCCATGACGAGCTTCAACCACTACGCCTTTGGCGCCGTCGCCGATTGGATTCACCGCACCATCGGGGGTCTCGCACCCGCGGAGCCAGGCTGGCGAATCGTCTCCGTGGAGCCCGTCCCCGGGGGCGGCATCACGCGCGCTGACACAAAGTATATCAGCGGGTACGGCGAGGTACGCGCAAAGTGGCAGGTCGACGGTGGCAAGTTCAAGCTGCAGGTCTGGGTGCCGCCGAATGCGCGCGCAAGGGTCAAGATGCCCAAGAGCGGAAAGGTCAAGGAGGTGGGATCTGGGTTCTACGAGTTTCAAGAGGCTGGACATTACTACGGCAGGCTATAGGGGTGACTGTTGCAAAACCCCAAAATCCGTCACCCAAGTGTCGAAATAGGTTAGCGGGATGGATATCCCGCCCCGCAGTACATTGCTCCATGTACCTCAGCGTTTATCTCTTGGAATTTTGTCACGTGGCGGAAGGTGCAAATACAGCGGCGGGGACGCAGCGGACCAGCAGAGCGCATTTCTATCACATTTGCCGCCACCGTGGCGGTCGAATTGGGCAACATCAACGCTCAATTGTTCACCCCCTCCTCGTCCGGCTTATTGAGCTGCTGAGCATGGAGTTAGTAGTGGAAATGTATCTGACGACTTAATCCCGCAAGGTTACAGTACAGTACACCATCAATAGTGCTTCGGGAATAAATCTAGCCAAGATCGCATACAGGTCTGAGGCCCTGCTCCGTGCGGCTCCATGGCCTTACCACTAGGTCGTTATTCCTAACCAATTAGTTCCTGGAGATGTTTGGATACGGAATTCCGCTGTGTGAAGTTGTGAACGCTTCCGTCGTTCGGTTTGACTCTGCCCTCGGTCAATGACCGGCCAACCTGTACATCATCAGGTGACAGGTTCTCGTGTGGATCCCATCCGCCGATAATTCATGGTAGTAATTTGACGGCCAGTCTTGAACCGTTGATGGCACTACACATTCGCGGTAGTCCCAGTTTAACAGCTCGGCGGTGCCACTATCCATGCCATTTTTGACTGTGGTTCGAGAGGAATGTTCATCGGACACATCCCTTGTACATGCGATGACCGCTCAGGGCGGCGTAGTGACGTCGTGATCCTAGGGATCTGCTACTTACAGAGAGTAATCCCCTTGGCATCATTTGCTGCCTTGATGGCTTTCGCTGTGTCGCTCTCTAACACCGCTTGGACACGTGGTGTCCATGGTGGCAACGCATACTCGTGTATGTCTTCTATTCGGTCCATCTGCACCGTTTGCACCGCTGTGACAATCTTCTGCATCGGCGACACGAACCTCCTGGTCGCACAATTTCTCAAGGCTGCCAGCGGATGTGTCACCACCGGCAGGGTTTGGAGTTGATGCAAAGTCTTGTCGTAGCCTGTCTATGTCGTTCCTCTACCGTTTGAATGTTGGCCTCGGCCATGGCCACGGTCGTTGCGACCGTACGAAACGCGCCTATAATAGCTTGCGCCCCGATTATCTATGCTTTGTTTATCTAACCCACGTGTTTCGCACGGAGGGCATATGTCTAGACATTAGAGGCATAGTCTATGGCTGGCGCGACTATTGCCTTAAAAAGTTATCTCGACACTCTTAGCGACAGCATCTTTAGCCTTCTTAGGCCCATAGCGGCGCTAAGTCCTTTAGCGGCCGCTTTCACCATATGCTGCTAGAATTGCAGCTCGTTATCCATAATCACTCCTAGAATCTTTACGCTTTCCCTAGGTTAGACCTCTTAGCCTTTAATTAGAAACGGCCTATCGCTGTTACGTACCGTGGCTCGCGTAAAGTAGACGATGGTCGTCTTCTCTATTTTAAAAGTTACACCGCTACGCGCCTCCCACTTAAGTGCATCGTCGATAATCGCTTAAATCCCTTCTTAGTTCGCTTCCGCGGTAGGCCTAGTTACCTAGGCCGAGTAATCGTCTACGAATATAATCGACCCGCTTTCCGCCTTAATCTTTCTCTAGACTAGGTCCGCGTTAAAGAAGAGGAATAAGATCGGTGAGAGCGGTGACCCTTAAGGAAGGCCTGCCTAAGGCAGCTCCCGTTGTTCCGACGTAAACCTATTAACTACTAATAAGGCTATTCGCTTAGAATAAAACGTATCTATCTATCTTATTAGTTCGGCTAGTATCCCTCTCGCCTTTATCCTCTCGAGCAGTCTTTCCTTATAAACTCTATTATAGGCGCCCTTAACGTTAAAACTAATTAAGCTAAGCACCTTATAGTTACGCTAAGCCTTATAAACCTATTCCTATAGTAGTAGCAGCGCCTACTCGGTAGATCGTCGTTTTCTTACTCCGAAGTAATTCGCGGGTAGAAGACCGTAGGTCTCTACTATATATAAGATACGCTCAGCTACGACCGCTTTAAGTATCTTACTAAGCGTCGATAATAGCGAGATTAGTCGCTATGCCTTAGCTACTATATAGTCGTCTTTATTTAGCTTCTTTAGTAGGACGATTTTCGCGTTTTTCTATTAACGAGGTACTACGCTATCTCGGAGGGATATATCGAAGAGAGTAAATATCCGATCCCTTCTTACCGGCTAGAGTTATCTCTATACCGCTATCGGAAGTTTATCTCCTCTAGGTGCTTTCTACGGTCTCGCTATTATAACCTTTTCCTCGATCTCTCCTAAAGTAAGTTTAGGTATTAGCACCGCTTTTCGCTATAGTCGTATCCCCTTATCCTCGATTCTCGCGGGCAAAGGTAGAAAAAAGGCTCTAAGTAGGTCGTCTACTTAGTCTACTTTATCCTTAGTCGTCGATCTATCCCCTTTCCTTAAAGGCGGCACCTTATCGCCTATTATACTCTTACCGGCTTTAAGATATTTAGTCGCCTTCTAGATATTAGTATCGTCAGAGAGGAAGTTATCTTAATACGCTTTCCTCTAGTATCGAATAGCATCGTAGAACTCCTTCGCTGCTTCTTTAGCCCGCTATTCGAGGTCTAGTCGCGCCTAGCCTACTCGCCGTTATATCCGTGCTTAGTTTCGCTAGAACGTATATACCCGCCGAAGTTATATAAGATCTTAGGTCTACTAACGGTTTATATACGGTAATAGCCGTGCCTAAGGCGTTAGTTTATAGATAGCCCTTAGAATGACCTATATTAGCTAATCTATCTAGGTTTAAACGTCGATAGCCTAAGGTAGGAGTTATAGATTGTCTTTTACCCGGCTTTATATAAGATTCTAAGGGGCGTTCTTAAATAAAAATCTAGGCGTCGTACTTCTCTCTAGTATTATAATATTAAAAGTCGTCTAAATAGCTCTATAGTCTAATCTATAATCGGTTAGATAGATAGCGTATAGTATTACTTCGTCGGCTAACTCTAACGTTATTAGTACTAGATCGATAGTGCTCTCTTAATCCTTCCCTTACTACGTTTTCGTGCCCCTTAAGAGCAGGCTCCCGAGGCTATAATCGTTTATTAGATTAATAATCGGCCCCGCTTCTCCTTATCTCTAAACCGAAATATCGTCTCTACCCTAGAGTAGGTTATAAGAGTTAAAGTCTCTAGCTAATACTATATCTATATATACTAGAGCCTTAACGGAATCTTTAGATTAAGTTATATAATAGTTTAGTAGTGCTTTTTAGTATTTCTATGCCTTTTCCTTCTACGTAGACCGAAACTACTAAAACGCTTCTTTTTAGTAGTCGGAGCACCGCTACCGTAAGATCGGCCGATAGTATCGGAATCTACACCGCTTCTACGTCGTGTCGCACCTAAAGTATACTATAGATCGGCTAGAAGCCGTCGCTTATATACGTTAGCAATATTTTTATCTAGTTACTATACTTTATAGGGCTCGTTACTACCTTGCTATCGATTATCCTAGCGTACGGTTTAGAGACCGGTAGCACTCCGTAATCCTTAAGGTCCTCGTCGTTTATTAAACTCTACTATACTAGTTCCCGTTTTCGTATATTAAGCTATAGAATACTTAGTATCTTATATATTAGAGTAGATATTTCGCACGCGGCAGTTCCGGCTAAACGACTCGTGCGGTCCGCCGCATAAGACGTATCTAGGCTCTATTGCATAGCACTCCCTATAGTGATAACCCGCACCGGCACACCTTCCGTATACCTAAGGCTTACTGCACCTAAAGGCTTTATGGCCTATGTCTTAATAGTTAAAGCACTATATCGGTCCCTTGCGGGGTTCGAAGGGATTAGTGCACGCCGACTCTCCGGCTAGATCGAAGTACTTACTATCTAAAAGCTTCTTTACATCGTTCTTTTTCGTCACGTAGACTACTATAGACCCGTATACTTTGCTTATTTCTTTATTGCTTAGCTAGGTAATCTTACCGATTAAGACATTAACGTACCCCACTGCGTTATGCAACGCACTAGGTCATATAACAATTTTCAACACCTGACGCGTCTTCTTTAAATTGACGTGATATAGACCACAACACTCGTATTGCAGAGGCAATTATAGAACTGCAATCCCAAGATCGCCCTAAATATGCAGAGACCGCGAGGAAATACAATATCGATAAATCTACGCTGTGGCGCCGCTTTAAAGGCAAAACAGCCTCAAATCACGACGCGAACTCTTACTCGCGATAGAAACTCACCAGCGCGCAGGAGGAGATTCTTATTAGGCACGTTAATAAGCTAACCGACCGTGGTATCCCGCCTACCCCTTAGATATTAAAGAATATCGCCGAGGAAATCGCAGGGACAGAGCTTAGTATTAACTAGGTAAGCCGCTTCCGCAAGCAACACTATAACCGTCTTTCGAGCTTATATTTACGCACTATAGATCATTAGCGGAAGGCTGCTAATAATTCTAGGCATTTCTAAAACTTCTTTAATCTAGTAAGACTGCTTTTTATCGTTATTTTAAGGGGTATACTGCCGATAATACTTAGTTAAATGCCGTAAAGTCGCTATTTCTAACCGAATCTAACTAGCTCCGCGAAAAGATCGAAAAGTATAACATCAGTCCCTTAAATGTTTATAATTTTAACGAGAAGGGATTCTAAATTAGTCTCTCTCGCTCTACTAAGCGAGTTATCCCCCGAGAAGCCCTTAGGCGCGGAAAACTGGTCGGGGCAAGCTAAGACGGGAACCGGGTGTTTATCACGCTAATCGCTGCTATATATACAGATTATTCGTACCTGCCACCGGCCCTTATTTATAAAGGGGAGTTAAAAGACTTCTAAGATACTTAGCTTAAGGATTTTAACTATTCTAGCGAAGTAGCCTTCTTCGCTAGTACGGAAAACGGCTAGAGCTATAACGCACTAGGTTTATACTAGCTTTAGCGTATATTTAACTGCTATACGAAGTA